ATATCAGGCAGCTCCAATTTCAAATAATTCAAAGGGAAATTGGTACTTAAAATTGGAATCTCTTCTGGCCATAAGCCCTAACAAGGAAACAAGCAGAGGAAACATGCATCAGTCATTCTAGACCTGGAGCAAACACTCCTGTAATTTATTTTTACTATCAGTGGCTACGTTTCTTCATTGTGAGTCAAGAAAAAAAATAATACACAAACACTTTTCATTTCATAAAGAGGTTATTACTTTCTATCTATTCTATTTAATCTAATGTTGGCTTGGGCTCATTATGCATCATACACTTCCTATTGAATGTCTGCCTAGCCACTCCATTTTCAAATTAAATTAATAATTCAAAAACACAAAGGTTACTGTAAACAATTCAGTTTCCTTTTCTACATGTGATTTCCTGCTGTGCAGTAAGCAATATAAAAATTTAATTTAAATCCGAGAGTCTTCAGAAACTATTAAATATTGACTCACTAATCCTTTGCTTTATAAAGGATTTTATAATTGTTTGAAGAAAACTGATTAACCTGCAGGTTAATTTAAATTTTCTATTCCATTAGTGAAATGAACAATGAAACAACTTTCTTTGACCAAAGTTACATGTTCATGCAATTATGGTTTCTGTTAAAATTTGAAAACATTCGGGATTTTATTCTTTAATGTCCTGGGTCTCCTTATGGAAATAGTCTCAGAGACTTGTGTATAGTCTTGCCTTTCTGCACCTCTGAGGTTTCTAAAGGAGTTCTGTCAATGTCAATTCTAAACGGGACCAATTTCATGTCTCACTTCTAATTTTCAACTTACCTTTACAATGTAATAGGAGACTCTCTCTTTACTCTGGTTTCCATGTGCACAAGAGCACACTCACAAACACACACACAGCAAAATTCACTACACTTGGGTGGAATTCATGATAATTTTGTCAGAGATTGATGTGCCTTTATTCTACTGTTAGCAAGATACATGTTTGATAAGTGAATGAATAACCTGCTTTTAAAGATTTAGAAATCAACATAAGTAATTTGTGCAGCAGTAACCTATGATTCAAAATTATTTTTAAGGATATCTGCTGAGTTTAGTCATTCTGAGAATAGGCCAAAAGTTCTAAAACTGCACTCTTTTAAAGTATTCTATAGTTTGGGCTATTCTGTAATTACTTCCTATAAAATGTTAGTTTATATATGACATACTTGCCCCATACTTCCTCTAACTATTGAAGCCTTCAATGTTTTATTCCCCTCTCCATAAAGTCTATAAATTGATTATGGATTGCCTGTACACACACACACACACATACACACACACACACACTCACTCACTCACACACACGAACACAATCCTTTGAAGTAGGAATTGTGTCCATAGGTTAAATTTGAAGCTGACTAGCCTTGGCAATATTTTCCTAGGAAGCACTATAAATATGTTTTATTTCAAGGCACATGGCTGCCTTCACAAAAGCCATATAAAATAAACATTTGTTCCATTCTTTTTATAATTTAAATCAGTTCTGATAAATCAATAAAAGGCCCCATAGGGAACTCTAACCAGAAAAGTTACATCAAATCCTGATAATGTAATTTATGTGTTAATAAGCATTGTAAAAGTTGGACATTCTTTTGGAACATTATTTTTCCACTGGAAATGTGGTTTGGCAAGTTAAAAAAATGATTCTCTTTAAAGCTGGGGAATATCATTTCTTTTAAAATTTATGTTCTGTGTTTCAGACTTTATGAACACTAACAAGTACATTTTAAACATTACCACTGTGGCTATGTTTTTTATTCTTTGTGCAGCCTTCATTGCTACTGAACATAAAGTTCTTAGAACAGCAAACATCTATTTTCCTGTCTTCCATGGGGGAGTGTGCAGAAATAAACATTGAGAATTTACGACACGGAGGTTAGAAAATTAACTCTGGGCTAGACAAGTTTGGGAAGCAGAAAAGCAAGGCCCTGATCAGAGGGCCTTGCTTTTCTGGGCACGAGGCAGCACCAATGCACAGTCATTGCAGATTCTGTTCATAAATGTGCTTCTGATCGATCTTTGTTAAATCAGGTTAAATGGGAATGCTGCTTTTCTGGATGTCTTCCAAAAGCTCATGAAAGAGTTTGTTCAAGGAGTCACATTTTGATTAAATACACAGTGTGGCTCTTTAAATAATATCTTAGGACAGAAAATGCTCTCAAAGAGAAGTTGAGAATATTTTCTCTGGTTATAACTGTCAGATCTAATGGCATTTTTATTTTTAGAAATGTCTCCATTTTTAATGCTTTTCTCTATGCAGTAGCCCAATATTGCCTTCAGTGCACAACAAAATGATGTAACACCAAAATTTTTAGTATAATGCAAATGTCCAGAATTTTTGTTAAATTATAAAGTATAATTTCATTGTATTTATACAGTTACATGGACTTGCTAAATCTATATTGTTTGAATACCAACACATAATCTCTGAAAGGAATGGCTTTAATATATAAATTCTCTTATTTTCCTTCTATTTTCACTTTCCATCTTATCTACTTTTGAAAAATTAATCTATAGCTATGGAGAGAAAAATTCTGTTCACTAAATGCATATGATTTCAAGATTTGTCAACAAAGTGAAGATTGCATTTGAAAATTTAGTAATATCAATTTACCAATTTTTTACAACAGAAAATGGCCGAAAAATAATATTTGATATGTAGCCCATGTAATATATAATTAGTACCATTTCACTCAATAAATGATTCAATATTATGGGTCTAATCTCCCCCTGATGCACAGGAAATTTATTTTTCAATGGCACTTATTACTCTAGGACTGTTAACCTGAGGGACTGAATCTTATTCGCTGCGTGCATCTGAATAAGGATAAATCCACTCTTTTAGAGCCCCCAAATGACCAGTTCCTATCACTGTTTCTTGTGTTACATAAATTTACACTGCAATGAGCTATGTGTTATATTCAGGGTGAGCAACTGATACTCTAAATCAGAGGTGGACAAATCCAGCCTACTGCCTGCTTTTTATAAATAAAGTTTTAATAGTACAAAGCCATGCTCATCACTTTATGCATTGTCTACGGCTGCTTTTGTGCCACAATGGTAGAGTTAAGTCAGTATTTACTGTCTGATCCTTTACAGAAAAAAATTGTCAACCTTTGATCTAAATGGATAGCTTTATGGAATCCATGTTAAATACAATACCTCGGAAGCCCCGGTATTAAAAGCTATAGTCCCAATTCACAATAGAATGACAAGTACATAGTTCAGTTATCCATGCCATAATATGTAACATGAATTGCGTTGTTTAGGAATGATGTTCATGGAGCCATAGAAACCCACTAACATTTCTCAGTTCTGCATTAAATAATATATTATCTAGCCCAGCCAGTGTGGTTCAGTGGTTGAGCATCAACCTATGAACCAGGAGGTCACAGATTTATTCCCAGTCATGGCACATACCCAGGCTGTGGGCTCAATCCTCAGTGAGGCACGTGCAGGAGGCAGCTGATCAATGATCCTCTCTCATCATTGATATTTCTATCTCTCCCTCTCCCTTCTCCTTTGAAACCAATAAAAATGTATTTTTAAAAAAGAACAGAAATATATTATCTAGAGGTGAACTGTTATATTTCAAAGTAAATAATAAATATTAAAAAATCTATTTTCCCTTAAAATGACCATTGAAACTAGCAATAAAGATATGCTAACATAAACAAATGATTATTTAAACTAGTTCTGAATCACTTGTTTCCTAAGCAACATAAATAGAAGCCAGGCTCTCTCATTTGCTGTGAAATGTTTGTTTGTTACTAATTTTCCTACTCAGTGCTTTTTTTATACCTAAATGCAAACTGCTGGTTAATGAAGAAAAACATCTGAACTCTTTTTATTATGTTTATTCGTTATAAATACATTCTGAAACCAAATTTAACTTACCATCATTTCAAGTGCATACTGGTTACAACTTAGCAACATCTTTCTCAGGATGTTGTCATTTTATAAAGAAGATGGACTGTTCAGTGGAATGCTTTTATTTTATCAATAAAAGTGAGACTTTTCAATGCCTTTATTATGAATGTACTGCTTGGTATTGACTATCATTTTGTATCACATTATTCAATATCAGCTTCAGAAACACTGGCAGCCTCACACACCTACTAGGTTCTCAGAGCCAACTAGCCATGAACAGAGGAAGTAATACAATCGCTTTTGTTAATGGTCTCATGCGACAGGCAGAGGCAGTCAATGTTAGACCTGGTCAAACGCATCTAGCTCTAGGTGAAATCTGAGGGGAGATGCAGCAACAAGAAAGCAGCACCGACTGAGCATGCTCCTACTCAGGCAGAGACAGAAAGGGAGTGGACGTACTGTAGAAGCTGGCCATTACGTAGTTTTGGCAACGATCACCAGTAAACTCATTTGGGCACCTGAGAGAAGAAACAAAAAACAATGGTAGAAAAAACAGAGAAAAAGAGAAGAGGTGAATATATGCTAGAAAGAAGCTCCTTCAGTGTTCATTTGACCGAACTTGGCGAGTTCACCCCCAGGAACGGAGTCTTTGTCCTAATCATGGTTTTCAGACTCTGGCGTTTCCCTCAAAGGGTTAGAAATCTGGACCAAATGCGGTCCTCGTGTTTGTATGACAGGAAGATCCCAGTATTTTAAGTGACTGCTTTCTTTCAAAGGGAGCCACTTAAAATTAAAACATCATCTCGGTTTGCCATTTGATAACTTCACTCAAACATTTGGAAGGACGCTTTTTTGGTTGGCCCGCCTGCCATGGAGGCCAGCATCACTGGCCACCCTGGTGGGTCATTCTTTTAAATTGATGACCTTTCGGGCCCATGTTGTGAGACAGCTGAACAAGATCAGATTCAATGGTTTATGCCCCGAGTGGTGAAACCATAATTCGAACAAAAGGAATCCATTACAACTGAGCTGTAAAAACACCAAGTGGTAGTGCTTGTTGCTGTAGTTTTGGGGGAAAAAGCAAATTTCAGATTATTTTAACATACTTTCATGGTTTTGGACTTTCATGGGCACATTCTCAGTACATCTTGCTCCAGTGAATCCAGGTTGGCACCTAGAGGGCAAAAATGTGATAAGCAATAGAACGCTAAGGACATTGAACTTTCAGACTGGCAATTTTCCTCCTATGGAATATGGAGATTCCTACAAATGACCTGGTGATTGAACAACATAAAGAAAAGACAAAAAAACATTTAGAAAACCATGTCCCATGAAAACTGTGGGTATATATTTTTGTTGTTATTGAAATGCTTCAGTCTTTATAAGTTAACTGAAATTTAACTAGAGTGAGGTTGAAAAGTTGGATGGGGCTGGCAAGACCCGGGCAGCCAATTCATTTTCCCTTTGGCATCTCCTTAGTTGCCACTGATCCTTGACTTTTCTTATGTTAATAAGAGTGACCATTTTGTAAGGAATATAAATATCTAATCGCTATGTTTACACCTAAAACTAATATAATATTGCATTGCCAGCTGTCATTGAAAATAACTTATAAACAAAACAAAACACTGGTTTTGGTGAGAGGTTACATGAAAGCCCATAATCTTCAATTATTTAAACCATTCTGAGCTACTTTTATAAACATTCAATTTTGCACTTATTTCATAGGTATTTTTATAAGTTAAGTCATCAAATTGCACTGGGAATCAAGCACTTTCGAACCCTAATGATTACTGACAAGAGAAACTACATTCCCTGTATTAAAAATATATATCACATATTAGGTCTCATTTTTAATGTTGAAAGTGAAAGAGGCCCATTTTTATTAGAACAAATTTCATTTCATTCAACTACTCTAAATACAAATACATTTTTAACACTTAAACATTAAAACTTCTAAAGTAGTACTTGATGTCATTTTGCTTTTGAGGTAAAACTATTTGGAAATTGTATCAAATTTAAATTTTATTCACTCACATATATTCACTTATCAAAATTCTAGAATTGATATACTATTGTTCTTGTAGTGGAGCTATTGTCCCTAAATATGGAAGTCCTTTACAACTACTCTTTTTGTGTTGTTATTCCAGTAACAAAAGCATTTCAGATTGAATTCATTTTACCCACTATCATGTTCTAATAAGAATGGGCATACCTTAAGCTCTAGTGTTACTAGGGCCATCGAAAGATTCTAAGAAGCAAATATACTTACAGATGCTCAACACCCAAGGCCATTATTATTACTAATAGTTTATCTAAACCATGAACATCATGCAAAGCACCTAATGCAATTGAGTTCTGACAGCACATACATGATTTACACACAACCCTTTCTTCTCCAGAGTAAATAAGAGTAAACACTATCTTTTGGCATCAAAGAGAAGTGAACAAAACTATTTATTTTTACTAATACAGGGGTGATTTAAAAAATTCCCCTTAAAGCCAAATTAAATGCCAAAAAATGTTATCACGTGATTTGGCACATCTGATTCTCCTACTTTATGAAGAATGGCATGAAAGATAAAATACTGGCAGTTCCAAATTTTCAGCCTCACGTGTACCTGTGTAAACTTAAAGTATAAATGATCACTAACAATAATATCAATGAGCTTAACACCAAACACCTTGTATTGATTGATATGGCCCTTTTGAGCTCTTCAAAGTCAATTTTATATAAATTAGTTGGTTATTTTTGGTTAGAATATTTTTGCTTCATTAAATAGAGGAAAATCTACTCAGAGAAATAAAGAAATAAAAACTATAACCTTTGAGGCTGGCTTACTTCTCATAAAGACATCACTCTACATGCTTCAGTAAGAATGTCTTCATATATATATATACAAGAAAAATGCATGGAAACCTACTTTCCATATAATGTATTTGACATAAATTTTGAAAGTATTTGGGGTTTTTGTGTATTTGTTTCTGAACCAGGACTATAAATCCATATAGACATACCCTGTAATTAAGCAGGTAATTTCAGAACTAAATGTATTCTACAATGATTATTTCATCTTACCTGTTTGCCTTCTTGAAAAAAAAATTAAAATTCTAATATTGTTCACACAATAATCCACTTTTTTCATACAAAGAACTTGGTATAAGATATGTGAATAATGTGTGTTTGTGTGTCTGTGTAGGGGACGGGGGAGAGAGAGAGAGAGAGAGAGAAAGAGAGAGAGAGAGAGAGAGAGAGAGAGAGAGAGGGAGAGAACTATAACTATTTGAGGTCAGGAATGCACTTATGAGTCTCTTAAGAGAAGAAATATACATTTATTAGAAAATTATCATGTATGCATCTTAGATGACAGTTTTGAGATCAGAGGGCACAGAACAACCAGGTGAAGGGGATAAAAAAAATCTCACCCAATCAATTTTATAAGTGGTATGAAATTCTATAATGATGTTTCCCAGGAAACTAGCATTATGGGATGGTGGTTTATTTTATCTCTATCATAAGATGATACAGAATATTTGGTACAGTAACACTAGAGCTTAAGGTATGCCCATTCTTTTTGGAATTATCAGCTATGTCTAAGCTAGAACTATCCTTTCACTAATGTTGATCTTCACTCAGATACATTTTCCTAGTGTGAAGCCTTATTATTTTTCAGAGTGTCCTCCATGGACCAAGAGCACCAGCATCTTCCTGTTCTTGTTAGTGGAAATGCAGAATCTCAGGCCCTAGGCCAGAACTACTGAATAAGACTTTGTATTTTAACAAGATCCCTGGGAGATTTGCATGTACATTAAAGCGTAAGGTGTCAGGGACCCTGACCTTGGAAGATGAAGACTAAGGCTCACAGCATCCTGGCACCATCACATCTTGGATGTGAGCAGCCCACTGGGCTTCATTGGGCCTTAGTTTTTCTCAGTGATAAGATTAAGGGATTTAACTAAGCGATTCTCAAAGGTTTCTTTTACCATAACAGTACTGGGAATGGAAGCTCATCCTAGCACATGGAATCACTGTGCCAAAACCCCTACGTCATTTCTTTTGAATGCATTACCAGTCAGGAAGGACTCAAGGACTTCTAAAAAATCCATTTTGATAGAATAAATTTTTAAGACAACCATGGAGGTAAGACAAATCTCAAAACCTATTCCCAAGCAATTCAGGCGTTCAGCAACAACAGTCATCGTGTAGTTTTTGTGGATACCAAGAGCTGTTGCCAAATCAAATGGACGGAAGTGGAAACTGATTTTCCGCATAAGCAAACTGCAGACTGCATTGATTGTGTAGAAAAAGTATGTGCAAAAATGAAAACTCATCTGCTCTATACGCCCTGAATCAAGTCTATATAATTACTTCTAAAAGAACAGGGAGACTGTCTGCCTTCTGACTTATTGCTATATTAGCATTATATGATAAGTATCCAATCTATCACTTTCCTGGGAGATAAGAATACCATAAATTTAATCTGATTTTGAACAATATGCTTTGGAATGAGTTTGAGCAAATCCAAGAATTTTATTTCTTAGAAGAACGTGGTTGAATAAGAATCAACCCTCTACTGTAGCTTCAAAAATACATATATCATTTGTTCCATTGATTAGGTTAGAAGATGGAAAGACATAATTTTTTTTTGTTTTACTTTGGTATTTGCTCATAATGTGATGTGATCTTTTTTCTATATTTGTTCTTTTTTTAAATTTTTTATTGATTAAATTATTACATATGTGTCCTTTCCCCCACATTTATATTTGTTCTTATTGAGACGAAAATTCACAGTTTGTCTAACATTAAGTATCACTTCTTCCAACTGACCCTGACCTGCAGCTCCCCATCTCCCCACTTCCACACGTGGGTATGGATTTCCTCTCAGGCTCTCATATGGGACCCTGCCCCCATCTCTTTGACTGGCCTTATCTGCTTGTGTTGTGATTATCTTTTTATAAGGACAGTGACCACATTTTGATAATTTTATCTCTAATGTTTAGCACAGTGCCCAGCTCATAAAGGGCTCTCATAAAATATCTGTAAACTGAACCTACTATAGGATCAGACTGAAGTGTTCAGTAAAAACTGTATCAAAGAGAATTTCATATAGTCAACTGATTTGCCAACTACAGGTCAATATTGAACTTCTTTTATTTTTTTAGCTTACGATAGATTCTCTTCTGTAGACTCCTAAGTAACTCTTTTATAGGGGCTCCCAGCACCCTCCTCCCCTAAATAGAAATCTTTACCATTGTGTTGAGAATTTGAAAAGACTCTAAAACTCGTTAATGATAAGTCTATTACCTCAAATTTAAACCCTGTTACTGAAATACCCGTTTACTTAGGGTTTAATAAAGTAGTACAATCTAGTAACCACGACTTGTACACAGCATCAGTAAAATAAAAACTGCCCTAATGATAAACTTACTATACTGTGAAAATCCTAAGATATTTACTATATAATTGACCATAAAGCCATGTATTTTGAAAATCAATTTAGTGTTCATTGTATTTTTTATATTCTAATTGAACAAATTATTCCCCATTTTTTGGTGGGATGCTAAATATATTCAAAGATATTTACAGAACCCCAAATTTCTGGTTATTTAGGGTTTGCTAAATTTATAAACCATTATAAATGGTTTTTTGGTTTTACAAATGTATGGTCAAGTTATAAATCATCCTTAAGCACTCTTTCTCTTTTTTTCTTCCTTCCTTCCTTCCTTCCTTCCTTCCTTCCTTCCTTCCTTCCTTCCTTCCTTCCCTTCCTCCTTTCCTTTCTTTCATTAATGTTCAGTAGGCCTTCCCTTGGTGAGTTAGGAGAAGGGAAACAAAGTCCACTTCTGATATTTCCTTTCTCTTTAGTCATCATGCTACAATGACATATTTGGACATTTTTAAATGCCTTGTCTAAAAAGGAAGTGTCCTTTTTATCTTTTTGCTTTACCTCAGTACTAGTTTTGGTTATTACCTTCATATTGTAAAACATTTGAAATGATTTCTTTGGTGTCTATATTTATAAATATCAAGTAATCGAAATACCAACAACTAGACATTGAGGAATATCAGCGGGGTTTAGTGTTAGATATTCAGACCTTTGCTCTCACTCTGAACAAACTGGAGTTGGCAGTATGAACACTAGCTCAAAGAGTGCTGGTGTTTGTCTACAGGAT